ATGTTCCTCAAGCTCACTAGACACGCTCTTGCCTCAGGGCCACTCCCTCTGCCTGGGGCATGTTTCTCCCAGGCATCCCCATGGCTCACTGTCCCTCTTCTTCAAGGGCATGTCCATGTGTCATTGTCTTGGTGATCTTTAGACCATTCCTGCCCTACTCCTTGCCTTTTCCCGCAGTTCCTGTCTCCCAACACACCGGTAACTCCCTCACCCACTCTGTTGGGGTCAGTCTCCCCCAACCAGTGTCATCTCCCCCGAGGCTGGGTCTTTATCTGTTTCTCTTTTGTGTCCTCAGGGTTAGCACAGTGCCTGGCACACAGTAAGTCAGGGCAAAGCAGATGTATGTGGTGTGGCAGACTTGCATGGAACCCCCACTGCCTGAATCCTCTCCATGTACTCACCAGCTCTCTGGGGCATAAGTCAAGGGTTTGATTTGATTTGGGGTGTGAGGGTGACTCCCATGTGGAGTCCCAGAGTGTCCCCAGCCAGCTCTCAACCCAGTGCCCAGAAGACCAGTGAGTCTTCACAGGTTGATGACAGGAGAGGTTGAATGGGCAGGGTTGCTGGCCTGAATCTTAGAAATTTATAGTCAGCTCCCACCAGGGGCAAAGGTATTGACCTCTCTGGCAAGGTGGTGGAAGGGAGAGGTAGGGGGTGAGGGGATGGGAGACTTGTTTGCCCCTAATGGTGCGTGCATTTTCATGTTGGTACTGGTTCCAGGGGCAATGCCTCTGAGATGCCAGCAGCTCAAGAGACAGAGCAGGAGTTCTGCTAACCTCTTCCTCCTAAATCAGAGAGCCTGGCATAAGGTGGACTTGGTAGATGTTGGAATTACAAATCTCTGACATCTGTGCAGCTCAAGCCTCAGGTCCTCTGGAGGCCCTGGGATTTCTCTCTTTTGATGGCCCTGGGCTGTGACAGTCTCTATCACTTATTAGACACCCAGAACATGTTTCCAGCCATTCTCATGGCCCTCTGTCCCCCCACAATGCCTGCCATAGGGTTTGGCATGAAGAAGGATATTGGGTATTTGCAGCCTGAGGACTTTGGGGTTATGTGTCTCCCTGGCAAGGGGTGCTCTAAGCCAAGTAACCTGAAAGATGTTGGGGCAGCTGGCTGTGACACTGCTTGTATTTCTGGGGCAGGTCTCTAGCATATATCCCAGGCCTAGGCAGGAAGCTCACTCTGGAGGAGGGTGTGTCTGTTTCCTGATCCAGTGGGGTGAGGTGAGGGTCGGTGGGAGCTCAGGCCCTGTCCAGTGAGTGGTCAGCCTCATGGTAGAGGAAGCTCCCTTTAATTGTGCTGGGTGGGAGGTGGGAAGACCAGGAGGCTGTAGGAGTAGCTGGTGCATAGGGCAGAGTGAGGTCAGGCCCTCTCAGGGGCTCCACATGGCTTGCTGCAGCCCCTGTGCCAATGGAATGCCAGCAGACAAAGGCAGCGTCCATCACAACACCTGGGCTAGAGGTCGGGGCCCAAGGCCTCTTCTCACTGCCATCTGCCTCCACTCTCTCTGGACCTTGCTCTCCTCCCCATGGCCAAAGGGGCCAGAGGAAGAACAATATCTGGGGCCTCAGAGAAAACCCAGCAGGAGGATGGGCCACTTCAGGCCTGGCTTCTTTGCTCAGCCCTCTGGAGCTGTGCTACCTTGAGCTAGTATCTGTGCTGCTTCACCGCAAGGGAGGGACAGAGGCAGAGTCTGAATGGAGCTAAGATTGTCTCTGTGGACTCTCTGGAGGCGGCCCCCATCAGTCCTGCAAAGTCTGGGTTGTGTTTGTCCACCCTTGACTGACAGGGTCACTGAGGCAGTTTGATCACCTCTGAAGGGGAAAGGAGATGAATAGAACTTAAGGAGAGAGGGTGAAGTCCCAGGGTGCCCAGCAGTCCAGAGCCTAAGCAGGCACTATGGGGAGCCAGAGGCATTCTGCATGCTGTGTGCTATGTGAAGGTGCCTGGGGGCTCTCTTCCTGTGCTTACTGTGTGCTGTGTACTCTGCTCCATGAGGGAGGGGCAATGCCTTCCCTCTATACGGCCAGGAAACAGGAGCACAGCAACATGGTGTGATGGAAATAGTGTGAGACTCAGGGTCAGATCTTGGAGTGACCTGAATGCCCTCTGTTAAATGGGGGCAAGAATACCTATGTCATAGTGATATGTTGTAAAATTGAGTAAAAATAATACTAATGAAAATGGTTGGCTTGTGGAATTGTTCATGTTCTTCCTTCCTTCCTTCCTTTCACTGCAAACTTCCTGTATCACCCAAAATGGTGTACACTCCCCAGCTATTTGTGGGTGATGTACTTAGCAGATGTTGTTCAATTCTCATAACATCTGGTTTGGAAAGGCAGAGGGATGGAATTTTTTTTTTTCATGATACTCACTGTGAGATGTCAGATTGTCACTTAATTGCACCGTGCCTCAGTTTCTCCACTTGTAAATCAGGGATATTGCTAGTGATGCTGGCCAGCTGCTTTGCAGGCTGTGGTAGGATAATGCGAGATAACAGATGGAAAGTGGTTTGAGCGTTTAGAAAAAGGCATCTCGCTCAGCCTCCCTGGTTGTTAGGGAAATGTAAATTAAAACAACAATGCCATACCATTTTTCATGTGTCCGATTGGCAGCCATTTAAAAGAGGGATCACTTCCAGGTGGGAACATGGGCTCTCTCCTGTACTGCTGGCAGGACTGTGAATTGCCACAACCTTTTCCAGAAGGGGATGCAGCCGTGTCTACTAAAAGTTTACATACATGCTCTGTGTTGTAATCAGTGAGCTTACTGTTGGAGAATAAACTGAAGAGCAAAGTCCCTACACAATCAGGTGCAGAGAGATGTTCACAGTGGTGCTGCCGGTGGTGGCAGGAATCTGGAAGCATCTAAATGCCCATTAGTAAGAGATGAAGTCTGCATTCTGAAACAACCCTACTATGCGCTGTTATTAGCTCTTAAAAAAAGAAGGTAGTTCTAAGCAACGTGGGCCCTGGAGGGTTGTCTGTGGAATATCATGATAGGAGAAAAGCACATTGCTTTTCTATAGAGGGGGATCCCTTTATTCTAAAGGTAACCAGAAGCTACGTGGCTCCATACGTGTGTGAATGAGAACATGTTTGTCTGCATGCAGAGAAAGGGATGGTAGGATGTGTGCCAGGCTCAGCCTGCCCGTTCTGGCTGTCAGACGGGCCAGGTTTGGCACAAAGAGTGTTTCTTACAGTTGAATCCATGCCAATATTTAGAAATTGAATTCATATAAAAAGCCTGGTTTGCAGTTTTTCAGAGAGAAAATCAGTAGGTGCACCACACTGGGCCTACATTCCCTCCTGGCTGAAACATATCAGCAGCTGCCACTTTTGGACGGTGCTTGTGGCCTCCAAATGGCCATCATTGCCACCCATCCGGCATCTCTCTCTCTCTCCCTTATATCCCCTGCCTGGCCTTTGTAGGTGTTTCAGTTTGCAACCCCCTGTGATAGGCTTTGACTGTTTGGAAACTAAGGGTGGTGGGAGTGCAGGGATATAATGGGGGGACTTCATCCTGTAATAGTCAACTGTATCTTGGAGATTTCTATTATTGAAATGACTCTTTCTTGCTTTGTAATTAGGGTATTTTAAGTACAATATTAGAGAAAACAAAAGGGTCCGATGGATGTTGTGTCATGTTGGATCGGGAACCACTGGTAGGGGGACCTCATTGTCCACGTGGGGCGTGGGCTGAGAGAAAGAGACTGTTCCCGGTTCAGAATTAAGGGGTCTGAGCTCTGGGCCCTTTCCAGATCTCTTACCCCCGGATCTTGCAGAAATGTTAGAAGCCTTTGCAAAGCACCCTTCCTTCCAGCTCCACTCTCTTCCCCATGTCTTTCCCAGTTGCTTATTGACAAGGTCAGTGGTACGTTAGCCCGGCTCAGATGCTGGCTGCACTTGCCAGCTGGGGGAGTTTTTGCACGTAGTTTAACAGCTCTAAGCCTCCAGACCCTACCCTGTGAACCAGGGAGGTGGGCAACCACCCTCCCTGAGTCACTGGAGGAGGATGCATGTGAGCCTGTCTGCACGAACAGGGCTGACAGTTCTGTGGGGGGCTGGGATCTGCAGCTTGATGAGCCTGGCCCTCGCTGTCACTGCTGGGCTTTAGGGAAGCCTGCTCTGAGGACTAAAAGGGAGATAGAAGACCACGCCCCACCATAATGGGGCTGGGAAAGCTGCTGCCATGCTGGGGGAGAACAGTTCACCCTCCCAGCCACCCTTAGAGATGGGATCTGGCCTTGCAGAGTGTCCATCAGCTGAGCCGGCTAATCTCTCTAGAGCTTAGCTCTGAAGTCCTCAAAATTCAGCCTCACCCTCCCACAGGTGCTCTGGAGCCCTGGGCAAGTCACCTCCCCTCTGTTTGGCTCTTTGGACACTTATGACCCACTGTCTCCTTTCATATCCAAGGTTATGGGATGATATAGTGGATATTTTTTAAATGCAGGAAAAGTTATGCTCACTGGGCAGTTGGCGATGGGCTTGTTGGACTTGCCAGCTCCTTGTCAGGCCTCTGTCTTCCCGGTTAGCACCCATCTCCTTTCTCCTTGATGTGTACCCTGGCTAACCACCTCTGTCACTTTTGGGTTATATGTTCCTGGGGGCTGCAGGCAGCAGCCCTCCCACCATTCAGTGAGCCTGGAATTTGTTACCAGGACACACTCTGTGCTTGCCACTGAGCTTTGCCCACAGAATCCCCCCAGCAAGGCAGCAGCCCCGATGAAAGCAAAAGGACCCTGTGGGCCCTGTCCCCATCCCCAGTTACTTTTGGGCTGCTGTGCCACAGCCAGGACTGGATAATAACAAAACCTTATGATACAGGCTATCTCTTCTTTCCCATGTCCCCTTCCCTGCCCCCGTTTGAGTTCATTCCTTTTCCTCCTTCCCAGGCCCTATTCTCCCTGGGGCTGCAGAGGTAGGAAAGTGCTAGAGGGGCTGAAGAGCAGCCCCCACACAGGACACGTCTCATTCACTTTGCCTTTGTGTCCACAGGAACCATGAGGTGCCACGTTGCTACCAGCTGCCACGTGGTCTGGCTTTTTGTGCTGATCTCTGGATGCTGGGGTAAGTCCTACCCTCCCCTTCTCTGCCCTGATAATAGCTTCTGCACGGGAGGCCAGGCTGGAGGGTGTGCCTTGGGACTCTGGAGCCCTGCCTTGTTGAGCAACAGGCACACAGTTCCCTCTCTGGGCCTCTGTCGGCTTCTGCAGCTCTCACAGGGCTGAAAATAACAGTTGTCCCCAGGCCTGGGCACACGGGGGCAAGGGGAGGAGCTTTGAGTTTGTGGGAGGGAGGCATCTGTGACCGTGGACTGCCTTCCTCCTGGGATGTGGGACTGGCCACAGTTCTCAGCTTTATAGCTCTCTCCTGAGGACCTGCTGTGTAATGCTGTGTGTTCCTACTGTGCTCACCTGTGGGGGCTGGAAGAAATAGCTCATTCTCAAGGAGTTCAGAGGTTGGTGGGGAGAAAGACACATCCAGAATTTGCTGTAATGCAGAGTGAATAGAATGAGAATAAAGGGTGGACACAGCTCCAGACAAGTCCATCAGAGGAGAAGATTAATTGGGCCTGTGGTGCAGGAGAAACCCAGCTAGAAGGGTAAGCACTTCATCTAGGCTTTGAGGACCGAGAAGTAGTTGTAGGTTAGGGGAGAGGAAGGGCATCCTGGCAGAGGGCACTTCCTAGGCAAAGTTGTGGCTGCTAGGAGCCTTCCTTTCTGCAGGGGACCAGCCCTCTATCCCTTGGCCTTGGCCTTACAGCAGCCAGGTTAGAGTGCCAGCTCTGGGCCCATGAAGGAGATGAGGAAGAGCCTGGGGGTTTGCCTCTGCTTTGGCCTTTGGACAACAGGTAGCAGGGAGCAGCTCTGGGCTGTGCTGAGGAAGGCTGGGACAGCAGGGATGCCTGGCGTGGTGTCCCCCAGGGCCAAGGCGTCTCTGGGGAAGAGTCATGGGCATGGTGTGCCTGGTGACACAGGCAAAGACATTCCTATGGGGGGCCTGCTCCTTCTCCCACTCCAGGGAGCCAGGTGGAATCTCTGGAGGAAGCTGAGCTTCATGCTGTGGTAGCATCACTAGCATCCTGCAGCCTGAGAGCCACTTGTAGGCCCCTTTCCTTGCCTACACTTTCGGAGGGATACTGCTTGAATGCTCCCTCTGGCAGGAAGCTCACTCCCATCTAGGCAGCCCAGGAGCACAGCACAGTCTCAAAGACTCTCAGAGGCAGAGTGGGAAGGAAGGTCAGACTCTTTCTCAACTCCTGGCACATTTCACCAGAGGAGAAACTGAACCCCGGGGAGGGAGCTGTCCTGAGGTCATACCAAACAGGGTTCCATGTTCCTCCACAGGGCCTGAGTCACAATACGACCCACCCCGTGTCCCTGAAGGAGGCGTCCCACATGAGGCAGGCAGGGGCAGCCTTGCCCTCAGGCGTTTGCTGAACGGTGGAAATCACAGCACTTTCCTCAGCCTCCCCATGGCCTTTGTGACCTTGGACACTCAGCCCTCTCCCTACTCCATTCTGCTTCCTTGAGCCCTCAGTTAAAGTGAAATACTTGCATAGGAACAAAGCAGGGGCTAAGTCCTTGGCACCTTCCTCCGTGAGGCACCCTCCTCCGTGGTCTCCCCCAGAGCTCTGCAGATGAACGATGCTTCAGGATTCAGCCTGGGCACAAGTTAGGAGTATAGATCCAGCCTTTAGGGATCCAGTCCCACCTCTTCAGGGTGTTCCATTGGGCAAGTGTCCTGACCTCTCTGGTTCAGTTGTCTCCACCTTCCCAGCATCTCCCTCATTTGTATTCCCTGCCTGGCCCTTATTTCTAAAATAGGAACAATACTAGGGCTTTCCTTCATGGGTTGTCAAATGGTCAAATGAATTAATACCACGTATGTACATTAAGCACTTAGAATAGCACCTAGACACCTTGAAGGTGCTCAGTAAGTGTTAGCTCGTTCATTAGGAGCAGCAATCTTTTTCTAGGGGAGAGCAAAATGGGGCACAGAAAACAGAGCAGCTAACCCAAGGCCACCCAGCAACGCTGTGGCAAAATATGGGTGATCAGCCTGCACAGGGGCTTTATAGCTTTGCTGTACAAATGAGCAAAGGGCCACATATCTCCTTGCTGGGCACAGTTGCCTCTTCCTGGTCCCCATCTGAAATGGCCAGTGCTGTTCCTTTAGCGTGGCTGACCTTAGGGACTGAAGGGCAAGTGGTTGATGACACCACCTTTCCATGCCACCCTTTGGACACCTGCCCCTGACCTGGTAGCCCTTCACTTGTCCCTCAGAGCAGACCACACTGCCCCTCCCCACACTGTTTCCACCTGACCCTGTCTCCCACTGGAACTCCTCTCCCATTCCTACAGTCAGAGTTGGGTCAGGCTCAGGAACAAACCCTCTTAGACCCCTTATCTGCCTGTCATCTCTTTTCGAAGCCTCCTACCCTTCTCCCACCCTCTCCTCTCTGGTCTCCATGTGCTCATAGCATTTCTTCTCCTTTGCCTGTGGGTTTATAGGGGCAGTAGGAGGTGAAGGTCTGGCCTGCCCTGTCCCTGTCTGGGTCATATAGGTGGTGAGGGGCACTGGCCATGAGGGGCCCCTGACTGTGAGGCTGCCCAGGTTCTGCACCCAATGTCAGCATGTCAAGCTTCTGTCCACTGGGGCACCTGTGGGCCACTGCAGCAGTGACCCTGGTGCACAGGATGCCTCTGGCAGGGAGGCAGTGCAGAGGGTGGGGCTTTTTGTCTCCATCCTGAGGCTGGGAAACAGGGCCAGAGAGGGGCAGCTCTCCAGAGAGGAGTCTGCCCAAGGGCCCTCAGCAGCAAATAGTGGAGCATGCAAGGCCCCTGACTCCTTGGCCCCAGTCTAGTGCTCCTTCCTTATCTCAGAGAGGAGGACAGTGTGGGGACTTTACTCTCTCCCCAGTGTGGACCTTAGTGCGAGCCACTTGTGCCTTCAGCCCCATCCCTGTGCTGAGGCCTAGGAGGCGGGCCTAGATCTGGATTCAGGCTGGCCTGGTTCCAGTGTTCTTCAGGCCCTCAAAGGAACCCCCAGCCCCTGATTCTGAGTGAAGCTTGTGTCTGCTGTCCTGGCACTCTGGCTGCTGCTCCTCCTGGTACCACCAGACCGACACCTGCAAGTTCCCAGGTTGGGGCCCCTGCACACCACGCCCAGCCCATGTCCCTTCCTTGCCCTGTGGTGGAAACTCTTGTTACTTGGCTGCAGCAGCTTGTGCTGCACCCTCTCTGAGCCTTCCCCCAACCCACTCTCCCTTAGGACTACAGGGGTGTTTAAAATGTTGAAAGTTGACAGCCAACTCCCTGTCTACCTTTGTGGGTGTCTGAGCAAGCAGGATGAGAGGGCTCAGGGCAGAGATTGGTGGGGTGAGCCACGTGGGGCCCAGGACAGAGGGCATGGCCGTGGGCTCCGAAAGCTGGGATTTTCCTCCCCCAGAAATCACCCATTGTCGCCTCCCCTCCGACTGCTGCTCATGCTCCTGCTTCACTGGAGTTCTCAAGGCTCCCAAGGGCGTGGTTTCGCCTCAGGAGCACACAGCTTTCATGCTTTAGGAGTGGTTTTGAGAGAAGTCACCTGTCTGTTCCTCCTAGTCCTAGGCGCCCATGCTGGCAGCCCAGAGCCACTGAGCTCTGAGGGAGGAGGGCCTGCTCTGGGAACACGGGTCCTGCTTGGTATGTGGCAGGCGACACATGTCTCTGCCCAGCTGCCCGTGCAGAGCTCTCGGTGGCTGATTATTGGCAGGTCCTGTAAAATAAAATTTAAAAATGAACGATGCCATTGCAGGCGATGTTTCTGGGTTTCTTCCTTATTGGTTTCCTATCCCCGTGAGCCCAGACCTGCTGCTAACTTTGCTGGGCACCCTCCACCCTGGCTCGGCTGCTTCTTGTTTTCCTGTAGACCAGTGGTTCTCAACCTTCCTAATGCCATGACCCTTTAATACAGTTCCACAGGTTGAGAACCGCTGCTGTAGACAAAGCCCAAGGCCCCCAGCAGGGACCTCAACCCTTCCCCTCTGGCTGCAATGGTGGTGTCTTTATTGATACCAATGTTAAGAATGGCCACCAGTGTTAGTAATAGCTACCATTTATCGGGCACTTGGGTGTGTGCCAAGGGCACAGTGCGTAGTGCTTTATGTATGTAATCTCATTTAATCCCCAGGTTAGCCATGAAGTCAGTCCTATTATTATTGCTGTTTTACACTTGGGTAAACTGAGACATGGGTTGATCACAGGACTAGAAAGAGGCACAGGGAGGTTTCCAAAAAGGCAAGGCCGTTGGCCAGCAGTCCCTTTCTGAGGCTGTTGTGTTCCTGACACAAGAGAACAGAGGTGTGTCTGTAGGCACATATGTACCTTATAGGTGCCAGGCCCTATTCTGGGCACAGGGCTGCCATGGACAACCAAGCCCTTATCTCTGCAGAGCTCACATTCTGCCTGGAGTCACACTGATCAATAGAAACATAGCACTGGGCTGGACACCGTGGCTCATTCTGATACTCTGAGCACTTTGGGAGGTTGAGGCAGGAATATTGCTTGAAGGCAGAAGTTCTACACCAGCCTGGGCAATATAGCAAACGCCATCTCTACAAAAGATAGAAAAATTAGCTAGGCATACGTGCATATGTGTAGTCCCAGCTACTCAGGAGGCTGAGGCAGGAGGACTGCTTGAGTCCAAGGAATTTGAGGTTGCATTGAGCTATGATGCCACCACTGCACTCTAGTCTGGGCAACAGAGTGAGACCCTGTCAAGAAAGAAAGAAAAAGACAGCTAGGCTCAGTGACTCACGCCTGTAATCCTAGTACTCTGGAAGGCTGAGGCGGGTGGATTGCTTGAGCTCAGGAGTTCGAGACCAGCCTGAACAAGAGCCAGACGCTGTCTCTAAAAATAGCCAGGCATTGTGGTGTGCACCTATAGTCCCCACTACTTGGGAGGCTGAGGCAAGAGGATCATTTGAGCCCAAGAGACTGAGGTTGCTGTGACCTGTGATGCCATGGCACTCTACCCAGGGTGACAGAGTGAGACACTGTCTCAAAAAGAAGGAAGGAAGGAGGGAGGGAGGGAGGGAAGAAGGGAGGAAAGGAAAGAAGAAGAAAAGAATGTAGGAAAGAAGGAGAAAGAAAAAGAAGAGAAAAAGAAAGAGAAATAAATAAAAACAATGCAAACCACATGTGTAATTTAAATTTTTCTGGGAGCCATATTAGAAGAGTAAAAGGAAACAGGTGAAATTCATTTTAATAATGTATTTTACTTGATCCACTATATCCAAGTAGTATCATTTCAACATGTAATTAATATGAAAGATTAACGAGCTATTTTACACTGATTTTTTTTCACCCACAGTGTTTGAAATCCTGTGTATATTTTGCACTTCAAGCAGCTCCCCACGTAGACCGTACCCAGAAGGCACGTGTGGCTGGAGACCTCGCTGGCCGCACAACTTGACTGCTGCCTGCCTGCCCACTGGCATTCTCTGCCATTTTGCCTCTGGGTGTAAAGAAATTGACCTTATAGAGTGTGTGAAGCTGGTGTGGGGGTGCTTAGCTGACTCCCTTGTCCTCTGACTTCCAGGCCAGGTGAACCGGCTGCCCTTCTTCACCAACCACTTCTTTGACACATACCTGCTGATCAGCGAGGACACACCTGTGGGTGAGTGGACACAGGCTGGTGGGTGTGCTGGGCGGCATGGGGTGCCCTCCCTTCCTGCCAGTAAAGGGTCTTAGAGGTGGAGACCATCTTCCATCCGTTATCAGAATCTCTTCCATGGTGTTCATGTGGGGCCCTGCTTGGATACCTCCAGGGATGGAGCACTCAGTACTTGCTGTGGTGGGCCATCCCAACAGAGGGGCATTCTGAACGGCTAGGGATTGAGCACATGGAACCCCAGGTGTCGACTTCCACATCCAGCACTAGATGGATTCCTCTTCCACTCGAAGCCCTTGCAGATGTTTGAAGACTGAAGCTGATGTGGCATTTGTTTTGTGGGGTTTTGTACTTTCTATGATCACTGCGTTTTCAGTGTTGGGTACGCCTGGTTGTATCATCAGAAATAAATTAGCCCTTTAGGTGATCATGAGCATCCTGGTGCTACCAAGGGCCTGACTCCTACGTCTGCCACTGGAGAGGGGGATCACTGAGAGAAGGACCCCATTGCCCTACCTCAGTTCCAGGGACCCAGAAGCATCTCAGGAGAGGGGAGTGAACTGCAGGAACCCCGTTTGTAGCTGTGCTGGGGGGAAGGTGCCCATGCCTGTGAGCACACAGAGGAATGGTGGCACTTGAAAAGGGCCTGTCTTCTACTGACAGCCTCTGTCCTGTCATTCTCACTAGTGCCACTTTAGGGAAAGTACCTGTTGTCTGGGGCTCCTTACCCTCAGGTCTGCCTCTCTGGCAGAGGCTGTGTACACATCAGGGGTCGGTGTGATACATGTTTTTGGAGCATCACTTGAAAACGAGACAGGATGGCTTGGAGTGGGGAGGGATATTAAGATAATTGCCTAATAAGTCATTTATAACACTCCTTCATATGAAACCAATTGTAGATGCATGGCAGAGCACATGCACAATACTTCAAAGATCTCTGCTAAAGGGGGCACTTTAGGTTAACCCAGACTCCCCTGTGAGCAGCCCCTTTCACTCTTTCTGGTGGCAGCTTTTTTGCAGGGGGTTGCTGGGCATGGTGGGTGTGGCCTGACTATTGTGGGGGATTGTCCCTATGGCCCAGTAGCACTTTGTTTCCAGGGATTTTGGGGGGCCCTCAGTGGAAAGTGGCGATGCTTTTGGCAACAGATAAGTATTGTGAGGCTGGATGTGGGGTTGGGATTTGGGGATCTGGGTGTTGAGGGGCCATCTGGGAAGGAAGCGCCTGCCTCTTCAGGATGCCTTTCCAGAGGCTTGGCTCAAACTCGGGGGTAGTATACCTGCAAGTCCCTTGGGAACCCTGCTGACTGGACTGGGTCAGGGATTTGTAACACAGCTGTATTCTTTCGGTGGTGCTCATTTGTGGCTCCCTGCCAACTCAGACCTGGCATGGGGCAGGCACAGAGCCAGAGAGTAGGTACCCAGTACCCAGAGCACATCGTGTGTATAGGCCAGTGAGTGCACATGCTATCAGCGGCTCATCACCCTGGTATCTGTGTTAATAACATCATCCTTTGGGAAATCTGTTTGGGGTGGAGGGAATATATTTGACCACTGGGGCCAAGGTATGGCCAGCCACTCACTGACCCGGGCTGGTGGCTGGGGGAGGTGAGGGCCCCTCTTAAGAGAGTAGTGCAGGTCCTATGTCTGACCTAGAATCATATACTAAACCCTGAGCGTGGGGTCCTCAGAGGCCTGTGGTGCAGGGAAGGGGTAGACATGGCTTGGGGTAGACAATGCTGACGTGACCGATCAGGCTGGATGGCCACTCAGGGAGCCCGCCTGCAGGCCTTGTTCTGTTGTCTTTGGCTCTGGATCTTGATTGTCTTTTGCAAATGCTGGCATTGATCGGCCTCTGGGAACAACTCCCAGGACTCAGCCCTGTTAAGGCTGTACTTGGCAGTCACAGCGGGGGCTTCTGTCTAGTGCGGTGGGGATTGATCCCTGGCTCCAGGGGAGCCTGTGGGATTGAGAGGGGGCTCAGTGAGCTGGAAGACAACTGTACTTCATCTCCCTGGGCAGGGGTAAGTGCTAGGCTGGCTCAGCACCCTCACAGCTTCTTCTCTTCCTTTTATATCAGGATGGGGGCAGCAAGGGCCATGGCCTGAAAGTGAGGAGCCCAGTTTTTATTTCTTGCTGTGCGACCTTGGGCACAGCTCTGCACCTCTCAGGTGCCTCCCTGTGCCATCTTGCCAATGAAAGGGCATTGAAAAGATGAGCCTGATGGGGCTGGGTGGCCCCAGGTATTTCTAGGCCCTCAGATGCACTGTACCCACAGGGCCCTGGACCATCCAGAAGGTGGGCATGGATTCTTGTGGACATGGTAGGCTCTGCAGGTGCAGGGTTGATGTTTCAGACTTCCCGTTCCAGGGCTCATTATCCAGCTTCTGCATGGACACCCAGTGATGAGGAGCTCATGATCTCACTTCTGTGCAATGGGACAGTTCCAGGAATAAAACAGTCTTCCTAATATTAGTATGAAACCTGCCTCTCTGGAACTACCCATTGGGTCTAATTTTCACCATTGGAGCCTTTCAGAATAATAAAGATAATATATATGATACACTATACACATAATATGTATTATTATAACAACAGCTTTTTTTTTTTTTTGAGACAGAGCCTCAAGCTGTCGCCCTGGGTAGAGTGCAGTAGCATTACAGCTCACAGCAACCTCCAACTCCTGGGCTCAAGCGAGTCTCCTGCCTCTGCCTCCCAAGTAGCTGGGACCACAGGCGCCCGCCACAGCGCCCGGCTATTTTTTGGTTGCAGCCGTCAATGTTGTTTTTGGCGGGTCCGGGCTGGGGATTCGAACCCGCCACCTTAGGAGTACGTGGCTGGCGCCTTAGCCAGTTGAGCTATAGGCACCGAGCCAACAACAGCATTTACTGAATGCTCAAAGTAGGGTCGTATGTGTTTTTATGTATTAATTCATTTTTAAATTCCTTTTAAGGAATTTTATTGGCAGAGTTTGCTTACAAGTGCTCTCTGTATGTAGTCCCTGTACACATGTTTTCCTGGGTTAAAGATTGGGACTTTTATCTACCCTCAACTTAAAAAAAAAAAACACAAAACTCTATCTCACTTTGTCACCCTTAGTAGAGTGCTGTGGCATCACAGCTCACAGCAACTTCCAGCTCTTGAGCTTAGGCGATTCTCTTGTCTCAGTTTCCCTTGTAGCTGGGACCTCAGGCTCTGGCCACAATGCCTGACTATTTTTCTGTTGCAGTATGGCTGGGTCTGGGTTTGAACCTGCCACCGTATATAGGGCTGATGCCCTACTCACTGAGCCACAGGCACTGCCCCACCCCCAACATTTTGAGCTTCCTTTTTTTTTTTTTTTTTTTGAGCTTCCATTTTTTCTGCTCTTGCCTCAATTCCCAGCCATGGGCCAATGCTTGGGAGTGGAATGGGAGGGCACAGCATGGCCATCTGAAATCCCTGGCAGAGGCTGCATGTTCCATTACCGTCTGCTCACCCATCTCAGGCTCCAGTTCCCTCTGCATGATGATCTTTTTGAAGACCATCTCCCAGCCAGAGAAGACAGAAGCCAAATGAAGTCATTAACTAGCTCTGCCTTCTCCCGTTCTGCTGACATCACCCTGCTGACATCGCCCTGCTTCCCCAGACAGGGCCCCTTGTCCCTGTGTGCTCCGCTGTACACATGGGCATTAGCCCTTGCCAGCAGAACCCGGGCCTGTCAGGTGGTGTAGGGACAGATCAGCAGCTCAGTCCCTGGTTAGGCTGGCTGGCATCATGCACACCTTTGCCCAGCTATTGGCAGCGAGTGGCTGCAGGGCTCCTTTAGGATGAGAACAGGTGCTGTAGGGGCGCTGTCTCCCTGTTCACTCCTGATTCTACTCCACGTGCTGTACCACCATTGCCAAGTCAGTATCAGCAACGACCTGTGCTGCCAAATCCCATCATCCATCCTCAGACCTGACACCTTCCAGGGTTGATCTTTTTCCCCTCTGGGACACGGCCCTTCCCTTCCCAGCCTCTTTGCTGGTTCCTCCACATCTCCACCTCTTAGCGCTGCAGGGCCCAGGGCTTAGCTCTTGTGTCTCTTTTCCTCGTTCTCACTCTTGGTGGTGGTGTCCAGCTTGTGGCTCACGTACTACCTGTGCGCTGACAGCCCCTTGTTTTATGTTTTCTGCCTGGGCAGCTCCTCAGATGAACTCCAGGTCTCCCTTGAACACCTGCCTCCCTGGCACCCTTTCTCATCCCCGCTGTGCTCCATCCTGCCGGTTGCTAAGATCAAAAGCTTGGACCCCTCCCCAATGGCTCTCTTCTTCCCTTATCTTACATCCATCCATCAGGAAGTCCTTTTGGCTCTTTTGTCAAAATCATTCCAGAACCTTCTTGTCTCTCCCCTTCCTATCACTGTGGTCCAGTCCTGATTTATCCCAGCAGCTTGTTCAGGTCTCAGTGGTCTCCCTGGATGTGCCCTCGCCTCACACCTGTTGCCTCTGTTTCTCATCCCAGCCCTAGGATAGTCCAGCTCAGAGTCTGCTCCAGTCCCTCCACCCACATAGAGAGAAGCCAGCGCTCATGAGTGGCATGCGGGCTGTTTGCAGTCCTACCTGGCTGCGTCTCGGACCTCACCCCTACCCTCTATCCTCTCACTTACCCTACTCGTATCCACTGGTCTCCTTGCTGCTCCTTTAGTGTGAAATGAAGTCCCTGTCTCATGGCCTTGGCAGGTGCTCTTCCGGCTGCTGGAATGTGGTGAGCCTCCACACATCAATCAGCTTCCTTCAGATGCCGCCACTTCTGGGTAGCCTTCCTGGATCTGCCCAGGCAGGGGTGGAGAGCTGCCTGGATCTCAACTGGCAGGGTTAGGGAACTACTTCCTTTGCTTTCATCAGTGCCTAGACTTCCTCTCTCAGGCTCCTTGAGATGCTGTATTACCTGCCTGTGCCTGGCCATCACTGCAGCCCTCGGACCCAGCCCCATGCCTGGCATGTACCTGGAACTTGGGGTGCCAGAAGGAAGGGGTGAATGTCTGG